TCCTCCCTCCCCCTCCTCCCTCCCTCTCCTCCCTCCCCTCCCTCCCTCTAGGGAGGAGGGTGAGGGAGGAGGGTGAGGGAGGGGGAGGGAGGAGGGTGAGGGCACCCTCCTCCCTCACCCTCCTCCCTCACCCTCCTCCCTCACCTCCCCTCTCCTCCCTTAGTCCCTTAAGCAAGGCTTGCAGTTACATTTCATTGGACAGTTGTTGAGCAGCACCTGAGCTGTGCATCTGCATTACTCCTCTGCCTCCACTGCTGCCTCTAGCTTCCATGGCCCTCTTCTCAAGTTCATTCAATATGCTCCCATGCCTTGACCGCACAGGTGCAAACCTCCCCAGACCCGGTATTCGAACTTAGAAGAACTAGTCGCAATGGGTGGGAACGAGCCTCTGGAACTTCACGGACCTGGGACATGAGGAGGAGGCGCGGTTTCTTCACCAACCAGCGTTGCCTCGTAAAGCACCTCGGAGCAAATTGGATCAACGGAGCATGGCTACTTCCCGGCTCCTTGAACACAGGCTGAGAAGCTGCATGCAGACTCTACACTGCTGGCTACGAAGTTGCGTGATATCTTTGATTTTCTTGTCAGGGTCACACCAAATCGTGTGCTTGTACTACTACTCTCGTAATATCGGTGCTAGTATTGGTACTAGTGTTACTGCAATCTCTGCAGGCACTAAAAAATACTTCTGGGCTGCCCTTACAACCTGAGGCGAATCTGACTTCGAGAAGGGATTAGACATTTTTTTTGCTTTAGCCCCCGAAATGCTTATTGCTCCGACCGCCCGAACAACTGCTGACTCCCGGTGATTCAATCCGACCTCTTCTGCAAACAGGGTCTGGTAACAAAAGCTTACGAAACTTAGCCTGAAGGGCTGAGCTGCTTATCAAGCGATAGCTTGCGACAAGGGGTGCTGGGGAGGGCTGGTGGCCATTTTGCTCGGGTTTTTTGGAGCTAGGCTCTGCCCAAGGGAGGGATTTTGCGACCGGGCCGGGGGGGTTCTTTTCCAAAAGAACAATGTAGAGAACATGTAGGGTTGAGCCAAAGGGACTTGTTTCCCATAGATGACAAGCAACTCCAGCCACTTGTTTTGCAGATCTCCCGCGATCCAGCGGAAGTAACACAGCTTTGGAAGTGTATTGGAGTATTGATGAGACAGCAACAGGCGGGCTTCTGCAGACGGGCCTACATGATTATAGCATCTAGCGTCCAGCGAAATTGGTATTGCTCCACAGAAGGGCATCCAAACAAGGACGCCTTTTTGAGACATATCCACAGGGCAGTACCCTTAACCCTGATCCCTAAACCCTTACTGGTTGTGTCACACTGACTCATTGGACATGATCGACGCCGGTGTTTGCCTAAACCGTCTGCACGTTCATGGCTCTTCCACGCGTCCAATGCGCGGCGAGAAAAAGGATCCCGCAAGTCTTTATTCAGCACGAGCTGCTAGCAGCTGATGCTTTCGTTCCAACCCTTCGCCCCCAAGTTTGAAGGGGTGAAGTCAGGCTCACCGCGACGTGTCCCATATCAACCAAGTGGTGCTCGACGTTCAGATACATTCTTCGCATTGTTTTGTCAATTATGCCCGCCCTGGGGCGCAGAGAGAAATCTGCCAAGAACCCGTCATGCCTTCAGTCGGATACGACCTGGGCTGCTTTGAGAAAGGTCATGATATGAGTCTGGGAGAGAACTTGGAGCAGCTAGCTTGAAGGAGAAACATCTTTTTTTGTTCGGTTCGAAGCTGAGGTGCGCCCGCCGGTGGTCTCGGGCCCACGGCCAGTGCTGAAGCCACATCGTGGTTCGGAGGCCTCAGAAATCCTCAGAACTTAGAACCCTCAGAACCTTCTTGCGAAGCCACTGGCTAGTTGGGGAAGTTGCTGAAGCTGCAGTATGCCAGCCTCAGGGCCAAGACATGCCAAGAGAGGAGTTACGTGTCTTGCAGATTTGTTCAAGCAGGAAAAATGGGACCTTCCAGGCACTCCATGCCACTGCAAGTGAATCCTTTTTGCCAGGTTGGCATGCCCTTGCTGGACCCTCCCTCCGTGGTAGCTGCTTCCCGAATCATGCAAGAGGCCATGATTCCTGGAGTCTAGAAATCTGCAGAAGTGTAGCTAAGTAGACAAAGTCACCGCTGATGACGGCTCATTTTTTTCTACGTGCACTGGCTTTTGCGGTGGTTGCTTGCCAGCAGCTCATCCTCTGGCTGTTGTGTACAAGAAGCATGAACGAGCTGACGTGAGGCGTACAACTCTGACACGGACAGGGGTGAAACCTCAGATGAGGACCACCGCTCAGCCTCCTGGACTCTTTTGCCTCTTAGAACGGAGAACAGAAGGAGTCCAATATAGCCCCAAGCGGAGCTCGGGGGCCCTTCTGATCTAGCTGTTCCAAGTTCCAATATCCTTCTAAATGGCACGACATGCACGTAACAGGACGACGACATCCTGCGATGGTCGCCGCCCTCCTCAGGCAGTCTTGCTCAGCTCATCTCTCACCTATAATTTTGCTTCAAATTCGTGCTCAGCATGCTGGTGCCACTTGCAGGTTTTTGAGAAAGTACGTGAGAGCGAGTAGGGCAACATTCCAACGTCACAGATCACATCTTGACATCTTTGGGCAAGCATGTCTCGCAGATTTGAGTTTTCGCGCTCCTCGACTCATGGGTGCAACTCTGGCCACGAGGGTTCATGACTCGCAGACTGCCATTGATGGTGCCAGGCCTCTACCCAACTAATGTACAATGACCCTACCCGTACCCAGGTGGGGATAATTACATATTCTGGGTGCGGTTGCCGAAATGTACCGAGGGGTACCTATGTTGTACATTTTTCTTGGTGGGCGAG